TACACATAGAATTTTGTACCTACCAGTATACCAGTTGCTGTGGAGTCAACTCTGATTTATAGCAATTCTATGTGTATCAGAAGAGAGTTGCTCTGTAGGGCTTTTCAATAGCTGATTTTTCTGAATTAGATCACCAGGTCATTCTTGTGAAGCACGTGTGGGTGGACTCAAACTTCCAACGTTTTTTTAGCAGTGAAGTGCATTAATCTTTGTACTACCCAGGGACTCCTACAGAAACCATAAACTACAGAGAAAATGATTGCCCTTTCATCCTAAAACCTAATACTACTCAAAGCCATAGGCATATGGAGAGGGTTAATATGCAGAAAGTTCGCTAATGCTGTTTCTTTTCGTCATGGGTATCAAAAAGGAAACAAATTCCTAGACATTTAATCCACTAATTTCACAGCCTAAATTCACCATTTTTAGTTTGATTTTTTACCAAAAAAGGAAAAAAACAAACCAAACTCACTGCCATCGAGTTAGATCCGACTCATAGCGACCCCTCCTTGGGTTTCCGAGGCAGTATCACTACAGAAGTAGAGTGAAAAAAATTTTTTTTTTAATTTCACAAATGCAAAAACATGGAAAGAACTTTGAAAAGCTAACACATCAATTCTTTTACAGAATTTTTACTCAGGTAAAACAATCTGTTACTCAGGTACAACAATCTAAGTAAACATAAATATCTCATACTCTCTTTTAATATCTTTTGATATGCAGATTAAAGTAACTATCATGACTAAAAACAAACCAAAACAATAAGGCAAAGCCTTGCATTGTTTTTAAATTGCATGCCTCCCTCTTCCCCACTCATTAGAATCACTGATTCAAACCAGGCACCATACGGGAATTATAGAAATAATTCGCAGAGTCAATATTCACCAGTAAACATTTATTGAGCAACTTCTATGGTAATCTCTTCCAACATCTAACAGTGAGATGTACTGTAGAAGAACCAGGGTTCTAGTTTCAGTTCTAAAGTTAAACTTCCATGAGACCTTGGGCAAACTGGGGCCTCACTTTCTTCATCTATAAAACTGGAACACTGAACCAAGGTGTTTCAGCTTTTAAAACTATAACTAATCCCTATCCCAGGGCTGAGTTGAGAGAAGATAGAGCTCCATTTGCCAAATCTTTGAGATCATTTGAGTATTCTTTGCATGCAGTAACTGTTGGGAAGCATTCAACATTGAAGGAAGAGGAAATGAACAGCTCCCACCCAAAAACAGGTCTTCACGATGTGGGTTCACTGAGGAAATGAGAAATGATCCCATTTAGCTACAATTTTTAAAATTATAATTCGACGTGAATTTCTTCCAGGATTCACTCTTTTAAAATTATACATGTTTTTGCTCCTCTCCAGTGATACTGAAATATGATTACTCATGTTAAACTGAAAGTCTTTTTGCCTTGTTTCACCAGTGGAAAAAAGGCCAGTCATGATTTCCCACACTTCCAAACATGCTTCCAGGGAAATACGTATGTTCTTACTCAGTGAGCCTCAGTAATCAGGGCTGACCTAGTCATTTCCATCACTTCACCCTTGGCCTGGGCTCTGAGACTTCCAGGCACTCTGACTGGACAGAATTCTTTTCCGATACTAAGTTGTTGTTGTTGTTATGTGCCGTCGAGTCAGCCCTGACTCATAGCGACCCCTCCTTGGGTTTCCGAGGCAGTATCACTACGGAAGTAGGATTCCGATACTAAGAGGCATCTTAATTATTAAGCTCCAAATCCCTGTCTTTGGCAGTTTCTTTGACAGCTTGCAATCTCCTTTCCTTCTGAGTATAAAATCTTTCCTATTTTCTTCCATCTAGCAATAATAAAAGTCTAGAGCTCAGATACTGTCTTGTCAGACCCATTTATTTTTAAGACTTGCTCAAGGTTATAATTTGCTGAGCAGTAGTGATATGCCTAGACTACAGGTCTTACGACTTACGTTAGGCCTTTTTTCATCAGCTATATTCCAAATTTCAACACCAATAGGCAATCCCTCCCTTTCAAAGCCAAGTATCCACCACATAGACCAGCCTTGCTGGCTACTGTGACCAGGTGTCACACAGGTTGACATTACATGGAAACCAACCTGATTCTGATTTACTTTCTTTAATTACAGTTGATTTGTTATCTTTGGAGCCTTGGTGGTGCATTGGTTAAAGCATTCAAGTGTTTACCAAAAGGTGGGCAGTTCAAACCCACCAATTGCTCCATGGGAAAAAGATGTGGCAGTCTGCTTCTGTAAAGATTGACAGCCTTGGAAACCCCACAGGGTAGTTCTACTTGCCCTATAGGGCACTGTGAGTGGAATTCGACTCAACAGCAGTGGGCTTGGTTTATTATTATTATTGTTTTATTTTTGTTATCTTTAACTCTAGAGTGGTAGAAGAGCTGTGTTAGGTACGGTACTCAAGTCTAGCAACTGAAATGCAAGGACATATAGATCTTACTATACTTGAAAAAAAAAAGACAGCTGCCATGCAGTCAACTCTAACTTATGGTGACCTCATGTGTATCAGAGTAGAACTGTGCTCCATAGGGTTTTCAATGACTGATTTGTCAGAAGTAGATTGGCAGGCCTTTCTTTCAATGTACTTTTGGTGGACTTAAACCCTCAACCTTCCAGTTAGCAGC